TTTATTTTAATTTATTTTATTTTATTTTTGGTCTTTTTTTGAGACAGGGTCTCCCTGTAGCCCCAGCTTGCCTGAAATCACTATGTAGACCAAGCTGGCCTTGAACTCACAGAGATCTGCCAGCCTCTGCCTCCTGAGTGCTGGGATTAAAGGTGTGCACCACCACGCCCGCTTTTTATAACCTTTATATGGTGTATTTTCTTCTTTAAATGTTCTCTTTAGCTTTCATAGCACCACTTTCTCCTATTGCCTGAAATCACTATGTAGACCAAGCTGGCCTTGAACTCACAGAGATCTGCCAGCCTCTGCCTCCTGAGTGCTGGGATTAAAGGTGTGCACCACCACGCCCGCTTTTTATAACCTTTATATGGTGTATTTTCTTCTTTAAATGTTCTCTTTAGCTTTCATAGCACCACTTTCTCCTATTCTTTAAACTCCGTCTACTCCTTGTGGCAACAATTTTAGCCTTGCTTCCCCTGGGTGATCTCTTCACCTGCTGTAATCATACCCACTACCATCTATATGCCCATAATTCCTCTTATTATTATGTTCACATATTCTCTACTTACTGAAAACTGCCACCTATCCATGGCTTCTTTAAATTCTCTATATAGTCAAAACAGAATTCCTGTCTCTTTGCAAATCACTCTTCTTTCTCCTCTATTCCTACCTTAGTGAACAGCACGAACTATCAACACAAATAACCAAACTAGAAACCAGGGAGTTATCTAAGATTGCTCTCCTCACTCCTCACCCCATACCTAGATCCCTTAGTCAATAATTATTAAACATGAACTGTTGGGATTAAAGGCATGTACCAGCATACCTGGCTCCTGATAATAATTCTAAGAATCTTCATTGCCTACAAGATACAGTTCAAACCCCTTACCCATGGTACACAAAGCCTACTTCCTGACCCCTAGTCACTTCTCTACTCTGATCTCCTTTACTTTAGCAGTGGTTCCTAAAGTATACTATGTCTTAAAATCTTTGATCTTTTGTCATAAGTTATTCCTTCTGCCTGGAATGACCACCCTCTATCTACTTGGTAAACAATTCCTCAACTTTCAAGATCAGAATCTCACTCCTCTATGAAGTTTTCCTTTTTTTTTTTTTTTTGAGACAGGGTCTCTCCTGGAACTCGCTATGTAAACCAGGCTGGCCTTGAACTCACAGAGATCCACCAGCCCAGCTTCTATGAAATCTTTCTTAAATCTCCCTAGTATATCAGCCACTCCTTCCTTTGTACTCTCCTTCCCCAACTGCTCTATTGAATCCTATCACAGAAACCATACCTGATATACTTTATTATGATTATGTCTTTAAAGGCCCATCTCCTACTGCTCTAAGAGCCAGAATCATGTTTTATGTAATACGGCCCAATGCCTATTATGTGATCAATAAATACTTATTAATTTTTTGTAATTTTTATTAAAGGAGAGTATGTAGTGATACAAAGAATCTGCTTTGTAGACAGGGTCTCATTGGGTAGCCCAGGCTGGCCTTGAACTCATAGTGATACTTTTGCCTCAGGCTCCTAAAAGACATATCCAGCCAAACTAAAAATATATTAGTTTCAGGGGTTCAGGATACAGTTTAGGTGGTAACAGTGCTTGCCTAATGTGCAGGAAGTCTTGGGTTTGATATGCAGCATCAGATAAATTAGTGGTACACACCTGTAATCCTGGCATTTGGATGGATACAGGAAGATAAGACATTCAAAATCATCCACAGCTACAAAGTGAGTTGGAGGCCACCTTGAACTACTTGAGACCCTATCTCAAAAAGGGCTTTAGAGCCAGGCATGGTAACACATGCCTTTAATCCCAGCACTCGGGAGGCAGAGGCAGGTGGATCTCTGTGAGTTCAAGGCCAGCCTGGTCTACATAGTGAGTTCCAGGCCAGCTGGGACTACAGGGAGACCCTGTCTCAAAAAGATCAAAAAAAAAAAAAAAACTCTTTAGGATTCATGTGTTGATTTCAGATGTTCGTCTTACTAGTATTTTTTTGCATTAGTAGTAAAAATGAGTTGACACTACTCAAGTACATAATGACCGAATATATTATGTAGCTACACTGAGAGGGCTACTGTGAGCATATTTTACTTTAACAAAAAGGAAAAACAATCTTCAACTTGTAAAATGCTACCATAGATTTGTTTCAACTAAAAATAAGAACAATGTAAAAGTTATGCTCATGTTCATGTCATTCAGGTCTCCAGGAAGACCTGCTTCTTCCTCCTCTCTCCCCTATTTCTGACTCCTGTTTTAGTACATGTAGACAGCAGGTGGCAGACACAGCTAGCCTTATCATTTAAGAAAATAGCTTTTAGCATCAATTTAAACATAAAACAAGGAGACCTAGGAAATAGAAACTAATTTAATTTGGTTTGGGGTATTAGAAAACTAAGCATCTCGGCTCATCACCTTCCTGTCTCTTTCCTGCTCCCAAGGTCCAGTATGAAATCATCAAAGTCCAAGCTAAGACAATTATGCATGACACACTTCCAGGATGACAATTTCATTACCCCACCAAAAGGTGTGAAAACAACTGTTCAGTCACTAGCCATGATTCTCTGTGCATGTTTCCCCCAGAGGGAAGGGTGGAAAACCCAGATGAGAACTTGAGTGTAAGGCAAAGACGATTACTGATTTGGCTAAAGTTCTAAATTCTAGGCCAGCTTGGCCCTAGCTCAGGCAAAAGAAGCATTCTACAAGGTCCATCACAGCTTTTGGTGATAATAAAGAATGCCAATTATTTGGCTTTGCCCCTGTAGATTTACCTTGGGAGCAAAATGGCTGATCAAGGGTAAGAATCTTTTTCTTTTTTCAAAGATTCATTTTATTTTTAATTATGTGTATGTTATGTATATGTGTGTGTCTATGGGGGGGGGAATATGTGCACATGAGTGCAGATATCCAAGTAGGCCAGAAGAGGACATCAGATCCTCTGGAACTGGATTGATAGGCAGTTTGTGAGCTGCCTGAAATGGATGCTGTGAATGAACTCAGGTCCTTGTAAGAGCAATATATGCCCTTAACCACTGAGTTAACTCTAGCCCCAGGACTCTGATCTTAGTATCATCCTACTTCTTAACAACTTATAACTGGATTCTTTGTTTCAAAAAAAAATAACACGAGGGTTGGAAAGATGGCTCAGCAGTTAAGAGAACTGGCTACTCTTGCATAGGATCAGAGTTCAATTCCCCGCACCCACATGGTGGTTAACAACCATCCATAACTCCAGTTCCAGGGTATCAGGCACCCTCTTCTGACTTTCACTGGCACTGCACATGTGCACTTAAATACATGCAGGCAATACGCTCATACACAAAAAATAAATTAAAAAAAAAAATATATATATATATATTATTTTATGTGTACGAGAGCATTGCCTACATGTATGTGAGTGCACCTGTGTCGTGCAATGCTAAGGAGGTCAGAAGAGGGCTTCAGATTCCCCTGGAATTGGAGTTAAGGACAGTTCGTAGCTGCCATGTGGGTGTTGGGAATCGAACCCAGGTCCTCTGCAAGAACAGTCAGTGCTCTTAATCACTGAGCCATCTCTCCATCCCCAATAAATAAAATATTTTAAAAAACACAACACACTTTTGTGTGAACACGTGTGTCTGTTATGTGTGTGTATACTTGTGTTTGCATGTGTGTGGGGCAACCTGTGTTTGAGTATGCATGTATATTTACATATGTGTATCTGTGTGTGTGAAGTTTATGTCAGATGTCTTTCTCGATCCCTCTCCATTTTATTTGAGGGAGGGTCTCTCACTAAATCCAGAGCTCACAGATTCCAGCTAATCTAGCTAATCTAGCTAGCCAGCTTGCCTAGACATCTCCAACTCCCAAATTCTGGGATTAGAGGCAGCTGCCACATCTGCCTGGTTTTTTACATAGGTTGGGGCTCTGAACTCTGGTCCTCGTACTTATGTGGCAAGCACTCTATCAATGAGCACTGAGCCATCTCCCTAGATTTTTACTTACATATTTACATCTTTGGATATAAAAAAATCTTAGGTTCTATATTATTGCCAGTTACACTGGAACAATAAAAAGGAAAAAAAAAAAGGAGTCATGGAAAAACACAAAAAATTCTGAAGAGATATTCCCATAGCTGATGTTAGAAGTAACTAATCAAAAATATGGCTGAAGGGGCTGAAGAGATGGCTCAGCAGTTAAGAACACTGGCTGTTCTTGCAGAAGACCAGGGTTCAAAACCCAGCACCCATATGGCAGCTAACAACTGTCTGTAACTCCAGTTCCAGGGGATTCGACAGCCTCTTCAGACCTCCTCGGGAACTGCACAACATGGGTGCACTTACCTACATGCAGGCATTACATGCATACACATAAAATAAATAATAAAATTAAAATATATATATATATGTTTGAAAACCCCCAAAACCAGGGTTAAAAAAATTAGCAATTAAGAGAACTTGCTGTTTTTGTAGAGGACCCAGGTTCAGTTCCTATTGCCCAATCAAGCAACTCATAACCTCCTATAACTCCGATTCCAGGGAATTCAACACCCTCTTCTGTCCTCCAAGGGCAACTACATGCAGGTGGTGCATATTCAGGTATACATAACATAACATAACATAACATAACATAACATAACATAACATAACATAACATAACATAACATAACATAACATAACATAACATAACATAACATAACATAACATAACATAACATAACATAACATAACATAACATAACATAACATAACATAACATAACATAACATAACATAACATAACATAACATAACATAACATAACATAACATAACATAACATAACATAACATAACATAACATAACATAACATAACATAACATAACATAACATAACATAACATAACATAACATAACATAACATAACATAACATAACATAACTGTGCTGGATAACTTGAGTTCCTACCTTGGGCTCCCCGATGAACTGTGACTGGGATATGTAAGCTGAATAAACCCTTTCCTCCCCAAGTTGGTATTGGTCAGAGTGTTTTGTCACAGCAGTGGAGAAACAAACTAGGACAATGACATAACATAACATAACAACACATAACAACACATAACAACACATAACATAACATAACAACACATAACAACACATAACATAACATAACATAAAATAACAACACATAACATAACAACACATAACAACACATAACAACACATAACATAACATAACATAACATAACATAACATAACATAACATAACATAACATAGGGTCTAGAGAGATGGATCAGTGGTTAACAGCACTGGCTGCTTTTGTAGAGAACCCAGGTTTGATTCCTAGCACCCTCTTGGGGACTAACAACCATCTGGAACTCCAGTTCCAGGGTTTCTGATGTCCTCTTCTGACCTCTGAAGGCACTCTGATGACACAGGTGCACTAACATAGATGTAGGCAATATACTCATACACATAAAACAAAAATTAAAACAAAATTAAAACAGAAAAACATGAAAATAAGGCATCCAGACACAAAAGACAGAGAACTAGGAAAAAGGAAAAAGAAATCTATTACTTTATGTAAATGTATAGTATCACTGGAGGAACCAGTCAACTTTTTCTATAAAAAACCAGACAGTAAATTCTCTAGGCTCTGTGTGCCATTTGTCATTATTCTACTATACTTTTGGATAAGGAAAGCAGCTACATCCATAAGCACACATGAAACAGGCAAGGCTGTCCTTTCAGTAAAACTTTAACCAAAAGAAGGAGGGAAGGAAGGAAGGAAGGAAGGAAGGACGGAAGGAAGGAAGGAAGGAAGGAAGGAAGGAAGGAAGGAAGGAAGGAAGTCAGTCATTCAGTCATAGTTTTCCCAATTCATCACTACTTTCTTGATGATGAAAGGATGATGAAAAATGAAAGGAGGGAAGGGGAGAGAAGGAAGGAAGGAAGAACTCAAAAATTAATCTAAGGAGAGCAAGATGGCTCAGTTAGTAAAGTGCTTGCTGCCAAGCCTAACAATCTGAGTTTTATCCCTGGAACTCACATGGTGTAAGGAAAACTGACTCCCTCAAGTTGTCCTCTGATCTCTACTCAAATACACACACACACACACACACACACAACACACACACACACACACACGAATAAATAATCTAGCCTTTTTGTAATAAAAAACCAAAATTTAAAAATCCTATGGAATCTCATATTTTTTTATGTGTATGCATGTATTGCCTGCATGCATATGTAAGTGCACCATATCATGCAATGCCTGTGGAGGACAGAAGAGAGAAGAGGCCGTTGGATCCCCTGGAACTGGAGTTATGGAGAGTTGTTAGCTGCCATGTGGGTGCTGGAATTCAAACCCGGGTCTTCTGCAAGAACAGCCAGTGTTCTTAACTGCTAGGCCATCTCTCCAGCCTCGACCAATTTCTTTATTTCTCTTTAAAATATTTTATTTATTTATTTTTTAATTTTGTTTTATGCGTATATATGTATTGCCTGCATGTAGGTAAGCACACCCAGTGTTGTACAATGCTCGTGGAGATCAGAAGAGGTTGTCGGATCCCCTGGGACTAGAGTTACTGACAGTTGTTAGCTGCCATGTGGGTGCTGGGATTCAAACCTGGGTCCTCTGCAAGAAGAGCCAGTAGCTTAACCACTGAGTCATCTCTCCAGCCCTGTATCTCATATTGTTTTAAAAAACAAACACGAGGCTGGAGAGATGGCTCAGCAGTTAAGAGCACTGGTTGCTCTTGCAGAGGACCTCCCAGCACCCACATGGCAGTTGACAACTGTCCATAACTCCAGTTCCAGGGGAATCTGACACCCTCTTCTGATTTCTGTGGGCACTGCACAATGTGGGTGCACATACATACATGCAGGCAATACACTCATACACATAACTAAAAAAATAATATTAAATAAAATATAAGAAAAAAAAAAACATTGCCACTAAGAACTACTGAGTGACTGAGAGCTAAAAGGCTCAATGTTAGATACCACTGTTATAGGTACAGGTCTCAGCTTCCCCATTTTTGGTTCTCAGAGTCAAATCAGAAGGTACTCATCCTATGGTATTATCTGCATTTTCTGAAATCTTCAGGATTGCATGGGAAGCATTCTAATCTTAAGTACTAGGAGATATTTCTTGGTTGGCACTGGGTAACTTTGGTAGCTATGTAACTTTGGGAAACAAGGTGCTCCCAACAAGTTCACCCACCTCTTTATTCTGCTGTGTTTGCTGCCACCTCCAGCGCCTTTTCAATGCTTCCTTCTCTACTCCCTTCTCCATCAGTGCATATAAAGCTTTCCTCAGCACCAAGTCCCGATCATGGAAACCCCACATCCCTGCAGCAAGAAAGCATGACATAAAACACTTTATCTTATCTCAGCTTTTGTTTTGAGGTGACAAAGATCAGGGCCTCTCGAATAAACTGGGCAAGTACTCTGCCATTCAGCTACACCTCCAGCTCCTTACTCATTAATTTTGATACAAAGACCCATGAAGAAAATTAGGATAAAGCCCAGATTCTAAGAAATTGGCTGTGATTTAGGGAAGAAGTACTTAGTCAAGAAAAGTTGTTCCGCTGGGCGTGGTGGTACACGCCTTTAGACTCACTCAGCACTTGAGAGGCAGAGGCAGGCAGATCTCTCTGAGAGTTCAAGGCCAGTCTGGTCTACATAGTGAGTTCCAGGCCAGCTGGGGCTAAAGACCAAAAAAATAAGGACGTTCCTACTCTCTAGGTCTACACACTTGGAGAATTTGAAAGTGGGGGATATAATACATTCTCCAAACTCATGAGAGGAAGTTCTCATTTCTCAAGCAAATCTAACAAACCAATATACAGCAGCTAGTAAGGCTGGTTTGGCAGCACACAGCAGTCAGCATCAAAGCTTGTGGAATGGATGAAAAACAGGGACCTTATCTAAAGCTAAAAGCAAATAATATACGGAGTTGTAAGTAGACCAAATAATTCAAAGTAAGTGTCACAAAGACCTGCTAAAAACCTATCATATATATATATATATATACACAAAGTTTGCTTACTAATGTTCAGTATTCCTAGGGTGAGCTCACAGAATAGGGCCTAAACTAAACCCTGTGCTCTCCTATCTCTAGCAAACACTGAAAAACCAAGGCAAGATTTTCTTTCATCTTCTCCTGTGCCAGCACCTTGCTGTGAACCATCACGTCTAGCTACAATGAAGTTTGATTAGATGAAATCCTATACATCATATTCAATTCAATTGCTTCCTTTCTACAGAAGGAGAGACATTTTCAAGACTCACCAAGAGAGGCTGCATGCAGGAGGCAGTTCCCATCTCCAGTAGTTGCCAAAGGAAGCAGCCTCTGACAGGTGGAGTCCACACTAGCCCACCAATTCAAACGCCCTGCAGACATGACAATGGAAGAAAAGAAAATCAGATCAGCTTACTTTAGAAAGACTAAACCATCACATTTTCTTCTTGAGACAGACTCTTGCTGCATAGACAGGCTAACTTTGAAATTATTACCCTTTTGCCTCTACCTCCCACAGGGGTATGCATGCTCTATATCACTTCTTTGTAGACACAGTCTTATGTAGCCTAGTCTGACCTGAAAATTACTATGTTGCTGAGACTGCCCTTAAGCTCCTGATATTCTTGCCTCCATCTCCTGAATGCTAGGATTGCAGGTGTACACCTCTAAACCTAGCCTCTATTATTCTTTATTTCTTATAGTTAGAATCTGGTATGCATGACTGGTTAAATTAGTGAGTTGAACATGCAGTGGACACATATACCACAGCACATGGGTGGTGATCAGAAGAAAACTTGTGGGTGCTGGGCATGGTGGCACACACCTTTAATCCCAGCACTTGGGAGGCAGAGGCAGGTGGATCGCTGTGAGTTCGAGGCCAGCCTGGTCTACATAGTGAGTTCCAGGACATTTAGGGCTACAAGGAGACCCTGTCTCAAAAAGACAAAAAAAAAAAAAAAGACAATTTATGGAAGTTAGTTCTCTCCTCTACCATGTGGGTGGGTCCCAAGAATCAAATTTGGGTCACCAACCCTGGCAGCAAGTGCCTTTACCCACTGGACCATCTCACCAGCCCATATTACCTAATTTTAACAGTAATTTAAAACAAACACAATTAGCCTGGTGTGGTGGCACACACCTTTAGTTCCTGCCCTGGGAGGCAGAGATAGGTGGAGCTCTGTGAGTTCAAGGCCAGTCTGGTCTACATAGTGAGTTCCAGGCCAGCTGGGGCTACAGGGAGACCCTGTCTCAAAAAACAAACAAAAATAAGAAAACAAAACAAGCAAACAAACAAAGAACAAGCACAATTGTGAAGGTAAATAAATTCGGGGGAATGTTCATATGAATAGATGTAACATCATCTGCAGCCTTGGCCCTCTGTTTGCAAGGCAGTTCCAGAGCCAATTATAATCAATCGTAGTTGTCCAGATATTGATTTTCAAATATTAGTTCCTAGGCCCTATCCATATATATCTGGTTTCTTTTATACTAAACAGAACAATTCCAAAGTATCTAATTTTTATCCTTTAACTTCAAACAGCACTTATCTCAGTACATGTTTCTCTGACTGACTCTTGTCTTTGATAACAATCAGATCACATACATAGACAGGTTACTGATCAAGGCCAGCCCCTCCATGGGGCTACACAGACTAGAGAGAAAAGCATTCAACAGAAAACACTCACTGACCTGCCTGTTCCAAGGCAACCAGCATGGACTGCTCAATGAGGTCTCTCTCTATGAAGCTGCGGAAGTCTTCTTTGTACACAGTGAGATCTGGAAGCTGGAAGGCACAGATGGGCATTTCCAGGGGGTGCTCACTGCTCCCCCAACCCCCACCATTGGAGGAGACATGGGACCGGGCCAGGGAAACAATGCTGGAGCTGGCGTGGGAGATACCCCTAGACAGGCGTTTTTCTGCAATGAGAAATCATGTTACCTTAGAATATATACAACCCACTCTGAGAACTCTCCACTGATATAGAGTTACCTCTTGACAGAGTTTCCAGTCGGGGAAACTATATCTAACCAGCTACTCAACTGCATGATGCTTTTCTCAAGCTGAGTACAAATGAAGAAATAGCAGTATTTGTGTGGATATTTACATTAGCTCCAAACACACGTTCATCTTTCTACCCTTATTTGTGATGTGCCTGGCTTTCCTCTTCCTGACTTTACTTTCTTCCACTCCCATTTTCCAGCATAAGAGACCCATTCATGTAGCAATTTCATCATTTTTTTAGTAAGAAGAAGAAGAACTAAGAGAAATGGGCTTTCATTAGACTAAATTCAGTCAAAAATCTCTCTGGTAATCCTTAGGGTTTTGAAGAATACAGAAAGGAACTCCATTATAGAAAATAAAATGGCATAAATGGGAACTTTTTCTGTCATCAATATTATAAATACATGATAGATATAATATGTAATATAGTCATCTGTATTATTTACTGTAATTTTCTTGATACTCATTTTTATCAGAAATTTATAGAAAACAGTAAATTCTTAACATGCTAGAGAACAAAACAGTAATGTAAATAGTATTCTAAATCATTAATTTTTTTCTGAGTACATGGCTCCCACAATTCCCTGCCCATATTCCATGAGCACAATTTGCACAGGGTAATATTATTTATTTGCATGGCTTGAATTATATGTGTGAGTATCACAAGGGGCAAGAGCTCTAATGTTGGGTAGCTAGTCTCACTCCAATATCTGGCCTGGATGAATGCACAAAGTCAATAAAGAATTGTCTAAAGTCATTTTTATAATGATGTTATTGTAAGGCATTTTGTTTGTTTTCAGGTTTTTGGGACAAGTCCCCCTGTAGCCCCAGCCGGTCTGGAACTTACTATGTAAACCAGGCTGTCCTCGATCTCACAGAGATCCATCTGCCTCTGCCTCCTGAATGCTGGGATTAAAAGTGTACACCACCATACCCAGCCTTATTTTAAGATATTTTTTATATAGTTAAATTTGGGTTTGGCTGGGTAAGAGAAAGAATGAAAACATCTCTAAAGGAACAAAGTCTCCATATAGCAGCACCCACCCCTCCATTTTATATACAAAACACCCATCAGTTACAGCAATACCTTGAATGATGTCATCTTGTCTCTGAAGGATGGGTCGGGGAGGACAAGTGGACTCTCTATCAGAACACCCTTTTTCAGGGGTCTTTGAGCAACTACTCCCTCCACTAAAGGGTGGAGACAGGTTCCCAGCATGGACTTGACGTAGCTGTTCAAAATCACTAAGGGCAGCACTCACGTCCCAGTTCTTTCCTGACAGGAGACAAAACAATAAGCAAATTATATATTCAGAGTATAAAGAAACTGGGGAAAGACACAGGAAGACCAATGCTATTCTAACCATCCTATCAAAACTAAGCAAACTAGGCATAGTAGCACATAATTTTAATCCCAGAACTTGGGAAGCTGAGGCAGGAACATCACATAGAGTTTAGGGCCACTCTAGGCTACATGAGATACTGCCTCAAAACACCCCCTGTCAAAAATAAACCTAGTAAGAACATAGTAATGCACACTACAATTCTATATTAGTTTGCCTTACCCTACCTTAATTTTCTTCAACCTGAAATGCTCATTTTCTTTATTGCCTATTTCCTATGTAAACTGCATGATGATAAACTTTGTCTCTGAACTCAAAGAGCCTTAGGAGAGCTAGTTACCTAAAATGAAACCTTCTTTTACATATAAAGGAAACAAAGCTTACAGAAGTAAAGTGACTTGTTCAAAGTCATAGCTTATTTGTACCAGGGCCCAGCAGGACTCAAGCCCAGATCTCTAATTCTGAGATCCAAAGAGGTTCTTAGTCTAGGTAAACTCCAGGATGTCCTAGGCCACATAAAATGATATACAAAGTCGTAGGTATGCACATTTTTCTAAAGAAGAGTTGCCATATATCACTAGCTTATCAAAAGCAACTATACTGCTTTCACTTTAAGAGTCACTCATTATTCTACTAAAGATAAGACCCTAAGTGATGGATTTGTCATGATAAACTTTTCTGTTGCTTTCTCCAGTTAAATTATTTAATACACATTGCTTAATTGTTTGTACTTCTTCCTGCTACTCTTAATCTGCCACAGCCTTAATTCAATTATCCCCTAGTGTCTACACCTCCAATCTACTCAAAAGAATTTCATGAGATTCATATTTCCTTCTCTCTCTTTTTTTTTTTTTTTTGATCTTTTTGAGACAGGTTCTCCCTGTAGCCCTAGCTGGCCTGGATTCACTATGGAGGCCAGGCCGGCCTCGAACTCACAGAGAGCCACCTGCCTCTGCCTCCCGAGTGCTGAGATTAAAGGCGTGCGCTACCACGCCCGACTCTTTATTTTTGAGATTCATATTTCTAAAGTACAGTTCTAACAGTCTCAATTCCATGTTCAAATGTGATGCCTAACCACGGCTATAAAATAAACACAAGGCTCCTTTGCCTGATACTTTCAATGGCCTCTCCTATTTTCTGGCCTTTTCTCTGGGGTTCAGTTTCCTGATTTGTGAACTGCAGATCCTAACAGTATGCATGTGGCTGTTTCTTCCATGCTGAGTGTGATCACGCCATCTTGAATCACACCAGTTATAATTACCCCTATAAACCCCATTAGGGTGGGGGTTGAGTATATTAGCATTCTCTCTCAGAAGGGGGGCCTTAATGAGATTAATGATGTTCTTAAGGCCCTTCCCCTCCCCAGGGATATTATAAGTAGTTAACAACTGCTGAGAAGAGAGATTTTTTTCGGTGGTGTCATTGCCCATAGGCTATCCATATGCTTGACAGTAACCTCCTGTCCATGTTCCTATAAGTTTACTGAGGTTACTCTGGTTCAGCAAGACAGACTTGGGTAACACTCTTTCTTTGGTCTGCCCTTTCTGACTGGAATGGATAGAAATAAACTCCCCCAGGAAAAGTCATACCTACCTCATAGTGTTATCATGAAGATTAAATGAGTTGAAAGCACATAGAACAGTGCTTGGATGCAGAAAGAATTGTATTTTTACATATTTACTAGTGTTGCTGTTTTTATTATAAACCCTCCAGTTAAGTTGTACTAACTATTCATGCTTGATGATTTTATTCTAAGCCATTAAATCAACACTTTTATCCTCCCTTTGGCTCACTCTCTGCTCTAGTCATCACTGGGCTTTCTTGTTCGGAGACCATACTAAGACTACTCCCATCCTAGATTCTCTCCACTGATTATTCCCATTGCCTACAAAGTTCTTTCACCAATACATCTACACAGATGAATCCTTCTAAGCTTCAGGTATTTGCTCAATGCCATGTTCTTAGTAAGTCCTATTTGACTGCCCAATTTAAAACCACATCACTCCCCTTATCATCTTCCATAGCACTCAGTAAGTACGCTATAATACACTTAACAACTTATGTAATTACCATAATTCTTGTTTATTGACTGTCTTTCTGACTACATTAAGGTGGGGGGTTTGTTTTGTTCAAGAATCTAGAGCAATACCTAGCATATAGTAGAGACTCAACAAATGGCTAAACAGAAGCTATTTTCTCCTAAATCAATTCATTCACTAATGAATAACATGTCTTGAGATCTGGATATGGATTTCAAACTGTTGGTAAAGCTTCTTAAAATCAGGCCCTCTTTATACAAACATGTCCAGGACTGAACATTCATCATCTTCCCTCCAAAACTTATAACCACTCTTCCTCCTATGTTCTCTAAATCAGTATGGCATCATAGCCCCTTCAAGTCCAAGAAATTCAGTCCATTTCAGCTTCTCACTAACTGTTCAGATTCCACTCTCCCTTTTCCCTCATCATTCAGCTAATCCCTGGGGCTGTTTAAATCTCTCTCACATCCATTCCTTCTTGTCCATTTTTACTACCTCTGTCCTATTTCAAGTTCTTATAATCTTCACAAGGTCTTTGATCTTTTGAGAAAAAAACTTGATTTTCTAAAGAGTCTCTCTGCTAAATCTCTCATCTCTAAAATTGGTTCTTTACACTACAACCAGAGTTACCTGCTAAAGGAAAAAACAAGAGACAGAAAGAGACAAAATAACAATAAGGTTCTCCTTTTTTCCCTTCTAAATGATGTATTAAAACCATCTACTTCTCTCTCTGCCACTAACATTGTGGTCTAAGTTGCCATCATCTCTCATCTGAACTAAGGCAATATTAACTGGTTTTACCACTGGCCACCTTCCAATATATTCCTGTTAGAATAGATTAAACACTAAAAACTCAGAATATAAAGTCCCACTATGGCTAACAAAGGCCCCGTATTCTGCTTCTTGCCCATCTAACCAGCTCCCCACCATTCTCGTACTACTCTCCCTATCTTGCTCACCATTAGCTTTTCTAATACGTCAAACTCCCCCAGCTCATGGTTGTTGGGTAAGCTATTTCTCCTGTAAAAACACCCTTCCTCTAAGGCCTTCCTGCAATCTGGATTTAAATCAGGTTTCTGTCTTCACTCTTCATAGTACTCTCAACTTTTCTTTTTTCTTTTTTTTTTTTTTTTTTTTTGGTCTTTTTTGAGACAGGGTCTCCCTGTAGCCCCAGCTGTCCTGGAACTCACTATGTAGACCAGGCTGGCCTTGAACTCACAGAGATCCACCTACCTGCCTCTGCCTCCCAAGTGCTGGGATTAAAGGCGTGCACCACCATTCCCGGCTTCAACTTTTATAACATGAGTGTGTGTCACAGAAGAAATCCTTTGTAACAGTATCAGTAAAACCCACACTCTAAAATCAAACTGCTTAGATTAAAATCCTATTCAACTTCACTGAACACCAATTTTTAAAGTTATAACATAGTAGTTGAGAGAATAATAGATCTCAAGTGCCTAGCACATACTGAACACACTGTATACATATTGACACACATTATTATAAGAGGAATGAGGAATCATTAACAGTGATTTTGTTTTTTTAAATTTTATATGTGGTACTGTGTATGTGTGTGGTATGGTATGTGCATGTCTGTGGTGTGTGCTGCATGTGGAGGCCAGAAGTCAAGGTCAGGTGTCTGTCTTTACAATTATGCTTTTAGTGTATTTCCCTTTGAATTACCTGAACATAAATAAATGACAGTAGAGAAAGCTACCCAAAACATAGAAGGTGAAAGGAGGACTTTGAATTTTGAAATTATGGTGGATCATACACAAAGCAGATCATTAGAAGTGACTTAAATGAAGGGCTACTATATACAAAATATCTTCCTGATCACCTCAAATGTTCTAAATCATCTTAACAATAAGATTTCACTTTCTCTTTTTTTTATTTTCTCTCATGACTTCTTACCTTCCAGAAGATCTCGGGCCAGCCCCGGCTCTGCACCTGTGGAACGGACAAACTCCGACAGGACAGCATCCATGTCCAGGGTCATGTGATCATCAGGTGCTTTTAGGCAGCAGGATGTGAGCAGAACATAGATGAAAATTCAGGCTTCTACCTAAGAAGGAAATAAATACATATGGCTTAAAACAACAAGAACAGAATGATTACAGCCAAACTGCAGCAGCTTAAACACATGGGGAAAATATTCTTGGCTTACTCATTCTAGTTACATTTTGAAACAACAGTTTAAAATTTATCATGAAGAGTAACATTTAATTTCCTCATTAACATTAATGTCTTAACTCCTATATTAACTACAAACCACTCTGAATAATACTTTATGGTTTTTTTTCTCTTTTCTAGTAGTGGTAGTACTAAGGATTGTTTGTATCTTTGTTTTTGGTCTTTTATTTATTTATTATTATTATTATTTTTTTTTTGGTCTTTTTGAGACAGGGTCTCCCTGTAGCCCCAGCTGGTCTGGAACTCCCTCTGTAGACCACACTGACCTCAAACTCACAGAGATCCACCTGCCTCTGCCTCCCAAGTGCTAGGATTAAAGGCGTGCGCCACCACGCCCAGCTGTGATACTGAGGATTGAACCCAGGTCTAACATATGCTAGACAAGTGCTCTAGGGATAAGCCACCCTGCCCTGAGCCTACATTTCTTCTATGAGTTTGCTTATCCAAACTGAAGGAAGCAGCAGACCAGGACACTAAAAAGATCTCCAACCTATAATTTCCCCTATTAAGGCACTCTTTTATTTCCTTTATGAAAATTTTTTTATCATTAAGTTTTTTTGGAGACAGGCTAGTCTAGAACTTGTAGCAATCCTCTACCTCAGCATCCTGAGTGCTGAGATTACAAGTAATTTAAATGGAGGGCTACCATATACAAAGTATCTTCCTAATCACCTTTCTGATCATGCACCACCATGCCCCCCACCTTACTCTGAAATTAGTAGCTATCTATTTTAATATATAAGTTTTTGGAAGCAGGGAATGTGTGTTTCTTCTTTACTAATATACACCCAGAATGAATCACTTGACACAGAGCCTGGCACCCAGGCTCTTAGTAAACACTAAATGAATGAATCTATGCAGTGGGAACCTTCAGGGTTGATTAACATTCTCATGCTGGTAAAGGAACGGAATGAATAAACTGAATGCTGAAACTACTCAAAATAAAATAAGCTATTCTGCAAATGAAAATGGAGATTCCAAAGGCTCATAACAAAAGTCGGTCTCTGTCCACTAACTTTAGGCACTCAGGAAACAGATCTACTCCAAAAAGTCTTTTTTTCCCAAGACAAAAGATTGTCAGGTAAATTTACCTGAAATAATATTTCTTCTTTCAGACTTGACTTTAGCAGAAACTATGCCCCTGATTTGACAGCCTGGCACCAATCCAACATTCCTCTAAGGTTAACAGTCCCAGCTGAGAAAGCAAAAACAGAGTGGAGAACAACCTCTGACCAAATTCCACCAGCCTGACAGTGCTCTGAAGATGAAGCCTCATTCATATTCTTCCAGACACTCACCAACTCCATCTTTCCAGGAAAGTCAAAACCAGAATTCTTTTTTTTTTTTGTCTTTTTGAGACAGGGTCTCCTTGTAGTCTCAGCTGTCCTGGAACTATGTAGACCAGGCTGGCCTTGAACTCACACAGATCTGCCTGCCTCTGCCTCCTAAGTTCTGGGATTAAAGGCATGTGTCACCATGCCGGCCAAAACTAGAATTCTTAAAAGCAACAGGTGACTCAGATGACTGATCAAAAATATTTCCACCTAAAAACATAAAGTCTATGGATGACTCCCAGGTACTTTTTATTTATTTTTTTTTAAAAAGATTTTTTATTTATGGGCTGGAGAGATGGCTCAGCAGTTGAGAACACTGGCTGTTCTTGAAGAACAGATCCAGGTTTGAATCCCAGCACCCACATGGTAGCTAACAACTTTTATTATTATAAAAATAATAAATTAAAAAAATTTAAAGATTTTTAATTTATTTTATGTGTGTGAATGTGTTGCCTGCATGTGTGTAAATGCACCCATGTTGTACAGTGCCCTCAGAGGTCAGAAGAGGGTATTGGATCCCCTTAACTGGAGTTAGGGACAATTGTCAGCCACCACGTGGGTGCTAGGAATCGAATTCCCAGGTACTTTTTCTCTTCTCCTCTCCCTATCCCAGGATACAACTTATTTAGTGGTATGATCAGATCCTGATTTTCTACATTCTTTGGCTATAGTAAGGCAAATAACAAGGATTAATAGGTTATAAAAATAGTAGGTCTCTAGGGGCTAGAGAGATCATTCAGCAATTAAGAGTACTAGGTGCTCTTGCAGAGGACCCAGGTTTGATTCCCAGCACCCTCATGGCAACTAACAACCATTGGTAACTGCAGTCCCAGGTATCCAACACCCTCTTCCAACTCCAAGGGCATTGCACAACACAGATGCACTTACATACATGCAAGTAATACACTTATACACATAAAATAAAAATAATAAATACAATATTAAAAAAATAGTAGGTCTCTAACTTGATAACTGGATTTTTTTTGAGAGCGAGAGAAATGGTGAAAGAGAAAGCATTATTTCTTACAGTGCTCTAATAATACAAGAGATCAGTGGGCAGAGGGATGATTTGTTCATATCTGTAGCCCAACATTCAGCAATGCATCTACAGTCTAGTAGACAGTCAATAAATGCCTGGTGAATACGTTCAATATCAATGAATGTCAATTTTTCTTCAGTTCCTAAGTATCAGAAAGAACTAGAACACCTAAAGAACTTTCTGTCCAAGATACTTCAAAGTTAAAATGCCAAGCTTTATATTCAGCAAACCAGTTCTCTTACATCCTGTACTTAAGAATTAAATTCCAAGTCAGGCAAGGTGGTTCAATCCTGTAATCTCAACACTTAGGAGGCTAATGCAGGAGGATTGAGAAGTCAAGGTTACAAAGAAAGACGGTCTCTCAAATAAATAATAATAATAAATGATTTAATTAAATTCTTTCAGAATTCCCAGGTGAACAAAAGTCCCCACCCCCAATGCAGGTAAGAAGTACCTCTCCAAAGTCCATTTTATTCACCATCTTTGGTCACAGGACATGGGAGCTGTTCAAGTAACTTAAATACATAAATACTCCAAAACCAACAGCCAAGCAAACTTCAGTCTTCCTTCTCAAAACAAAACAAGGTAAGTCACTTTGATAACTTTCTGAAAAACTGTGGGGAAGATACAATAACCACACACAGCAATCAGCAAAAAGTGCTCAGCAGTAAGGACAAGGTATGACTAAGGCACAAGCATGCAAACAGTTTCCTAGCAAGACCCACACTTCTGAGTAAGGGAAGCAAATGAGAGCCGTTGGTGTCACCGCAGCCAAGGTCTCATATGGTAAGAGGGGGTAGGTCATTCACTTCAAAATCATCTAATATAAATGAATAACTCAGAGTCTCTGACACTATCTGGAAAGACTGGCTCTTCAACAAAAGTTTGAAGCACTAAAGCAAACCTCTTGGCAGCACATTCTTATATTTGATGTCTCCAGGTACATGTCATGGACTATGTCCTGACCTCAACAGGTAAGGACGGCAGCTTTTGTTACATCACTGCCAACACCTGGCTTAAGCATCTCAAATTCCAAATGGGGCTATTGAAGCCAGTGATGACACTCACAGTCTGGCTCTGTCTCAGCATACAGGAAGGAAAAATCCAAACAAAAAACAAAACAGACTTTCAACTTTTCAAGTTAAAGTGAAGTAGCACTCAAATATTTGTTGATTGAGTGGTTTATAGACAGATTTCAAACAGCCAAAATTCTCCAGTCTTCCAAATGATAGGGCCTTTATCAATTATTCAGCCAATGTCTGTCTCCATCCAAGTGTTCTTCCACAACATCTCTGACAGATAAATTATCCAGCTCCCAAAAAATACAAGATCTGACATGGAACTCATTACTTTGCAGACACAAAATATATTTTTTTAAACAAAAGCCAAATTTGTCACCAGACTCCTCTCCCTAATTATTTTCACATAATTATCTTTATTACATTCTCTAGAACTATACAATCAACTCCTGTACATGATGAACTTTTCACAGAAAATTATTAAATCATTTATCATTTATTTAGATACTTGTTTGTAAAAATATTTTATTATTTTTATTTTTATGTATGTGTGTGAGTGTAATGCCTACATGTAGGTGGGTGCACCTGTGTCACGGAATGCCTGAGGAGGTCAGAAGAGGGCATCAGATCCCTAGAACTGGAGGTACAGACAGTTCTTAGTTGCCATGTAAGTTCTAGAACCGAGGCAGTGTTCTTAACCACTGAGCCATCTCTGCAGCCCCTAGATAAATACCTGTTATAGATCAACAACACAATGTTATTATGAACCAGACAATGACATATATTTTATAAAATCTTTCCCTGTTATCAGCACTTGCTTATTCCTGTATTTTTTTTTTTTTTTTTTTTGGTCTTTTTTGAGACAGGGTCTCCCTGTAGCCCCAGCTGGCCTAGAATTCACTGTGTAGACCAAGCTGGTCTACATAGGCTATGAGCCTTGAACTCAAAGAGATCCACCTACCTCTGCCTCCCGAGTGCTGGAACTAAAGGCGTGCACCACCACATCCAGCTTTCCTCTATTCATTTATAAATGTTATGTTGACCATATACTACAAACTGCATGCTGCAGGAATGTTCAAATTTTACTTCTGCTGTCTTTGCCTCTTGCCCCTATTTGTACTTCCATATCATCCTGAAGGCAGAGAGCAAGAATTCAAACAAGTTAATATTACTTAGGCTCTTTCGAAGACACTATTTTAGGGCTAAAGGTGCAGCTCAGTGGCAGAGTACTTCCCTAGCATACAAGGCCTTGGGTTTGATCAATAGCACCACCAAAACAAAACAACTCACCACAACACTATCTTATTCTATCCAACAATAAAACAAAAAAGGCTTGAAAAGATAGGTAAATAGGTCAAGAGTCTGAACCCATGATCTTTCTGCTGTTCCCAGATGTTTTCCAAGGGACTAAGGTATTTCACTGATTCTTACTACTTAATTCCATTTGCTACAGGAATGGTCTGTACCAATCATATTGATTGAAGACTTACATTTTCCTCACTTCAAATCCTACCATCTTCCTGAGCAATTTCAACACTCAGCTCCACAATCCAGCTGCCTTTAGAAGTTTCCTAAGATCTAGAAACCTCTATCGTTACTGCAACAACTCAGACCTGGACCCTGCCATTTCCTGAAATCATTTTACCTGTCTTAAAATCCAACAACTTACTCTCCTACAGTTTCATCTTTACCCAGCTTTTTTTAAAGTTTATTTTAATTTTTTAAAATTTAATAACCACATGATTAGAAGAAGCATTTCATTACAGCTTTAACATATTCAGTAACACATTCCAGAGCAAGGATATATCTCTTTCAAAGGTGGCTGTAAATTTTTAGGTTCACAGTTGAATTAATACAGTCATACACTATTGAACTCAGTATAAACTCTGTAAAACAAAAAATGTAATGAGTTTTTAACCTTTAAAATAGATCTGCATTTCATTTTTTTTAAAGAGGG